TAGTCCCTATGGCTTTGTTTGGGAGTTAGTTTTAGGAGGGGAAGGAAAGGAAATGAAGGGTTTTAGAAAGCTCTTCCTTTGTTTGTGAGTTTAAAAAAATGAGGGAAAAGAATTGAGGATTTTTACTAAACCCTCCAAAATCCTTCTTCTTCTTAAAATTAAAATTTCTCCAATTTGAGCAGTGTTTAAAAACCCGGCCCAGCCATCGACCTAGCCGAGGTCAGGGGTCACGGGGTCACTACGCTGACCCGATTTTATATATTAAAAAAAAGATATATATATATATATATATATATATATATATATATATATATATATATATCCTATATGAAAATATTAAAAAACAAACCACCAACATAATTCACTAATTACAACCACAAGTCAATATTACTCAATCTAATTAAAGTATTAAGATACCAAAGTACAAAACTCATATTCTAATGGGGTCACTACGCTGACCCGATTCTACCTCTTTTGATATGGTCCGTGACAAAGGAAAATTTAAAGGAAGTAATAATGAGTTTTTGTTTTCCATCGACGATCGTAAGGATTTCATTTGAATGGTTAAAATTCTTATCTTTTCTAGAAGATTCACGGCAGCAAGGTGAAGATTGAAGACGTCTAGGTCGCTGAGAGAGAAGAGCACGATTAGATTTAGGTTTGAAAGCATTTTTATTTTATTTTTTTAATAAACGATGTTGTTTCAAGAAATTTTTAAAAAAAAAAAAAAAACATGATGTGACCCCCTTTGACCCCTCTGACCCGGGAGTCACTGAAACCCGGCCGGATTTTGGGGGTTAAAGGGGTTGATATGCATATAGGGTCCAACTTGTGACCCCAACCCTCAGAGGGGAGAGGTCAGGGTTGACACGGGTCAACCCGGGGGCGAAGTGGGGTTTTAAAACACTAAATTTGAGAGGTTTGAAGGGGAAAATATTAAAAATTACTTATTACCCTTAGCATTAAAATGTGAAAACTACATAAATGTGAATCATTTTTAAATGTGATATTATTAGAAAAGTCTCAAATACTGACAGAATTTATCGACGAAAAATATTTCGTCAAAAATAGTGATGAAATTTTTGATGAAAATCATAAACGTCAAAAAATTTCCGTCAAAACTAAAGACAAAATTAGAGACGGAACCAGATTTTGCCATAATCAGTGACAAATTTTTTACGGAAAAAATTCAATCAAAATTATTGATAGAATCTAAATTCCGTCAAAACTTTCAACGAAAATATTTTCGTCCAAAATTTTGACGAAACACATTTCTATCGAAAAGTTTCAACGTAAAATAATTACGTCAAAATTTTTTACAAAAAGTATTTCCGTCAAAATTTTCCGCAAAAATTTTCGACGAAGAAATATTTCCTTCATATTTGTGACTACAAATATTTCTGTAAAAAAATTTGATGGAAATTTTTTTTTTGTCAAAATTCTTTATGGAATCTAAATTTCGTCAAAACATTTCCCTCAAAATATTTCACAAAAAAACATATTCATCAAAAATTGTGATGAAAAATATTTTAATCAAAATTTTCAACGAAACACATTTCTATCGAAAATTTTTTACGGAAAAAAATTTCATCAAAATTCTTTACAGAATTTAAATTTTGTCGAACGTTTTCGACAGAAACATTTTCGTTAAACTTTTTGACAAAAAAAATTTATATCAAAAATTTTCGACGAAAAATATTTTATCAAGTTTTTTGATAAAACACATTTCCATCAAAATTTTCAAAAAAACACATTTCGGTCAAAAAAATTTGACAGAAAATATTTCTGTAAAAAATTTTTAAGAAAAATATTTCAAAAAAAAATTTTGACGAAAAAATATTCTGTCAAAATTCTTTACAGAATCTAAATTTTGTCGAAAATTTCGAATGAAACATTTCCCTCAAAATTTTTAACAAAACAATTTCCGTCAAAATTTTTGTTAGAACACATTTCCATCGAAATTTTGAACGGAAAACATTTCGTCAAAATTTTTGACGGAATTATTTTTTCGTTTAAAACATTTGAAGGAGGAAATCATTTTCGTCAAAACTTTTGACGAAAACTAAATTTCGTCAAAAATTTTGATAGAAAATTTATTTTTGTGAAAAATTTTATCTGAGAAAAAGTTTCATCGCTTTTCGACGAAAAGTATTCTGATGAAAAAATAATTTTGTGACGAATTTTCATCGTTTGCAATGTAAAAATTTCGTCGAAAATATGATCTTTTTTAGTATTGTGAAAAGTACATAAATAATTTTGTTAGAAATTTTAAATTTAATTTAATTTGTTTAATATAATAATTATATGAGAAAGGTTATACTTACAACCTTTTTTTTACATCCTCTTACAACCATATCTTAACACTGTTGATTTCCAACAATCAACGGTTATTATTTTTGCAAATTAAACTCATTAATTAATTATTAATTCACAATAAATGATATCCGTTGATTGGCATAAATCAACGGTGTTAAGATATGGTTGAAAGAAGTTGTAAAAAAAAATGTGGTAAGTATAACCTTCCTCTAATTATATTTATTTTAAAAAGGGAAAAGTATTTATCCTTTTAAATGACACAACTTATATCATTTCACTCTCACAAAGAGGTGGGACTCACACCTTTATTTTTTTTGTCAACTCTTTCTCCTCCTTTATCTATCTCTTTATCTCTCTTAATATGACACAACTTTACATCCTTTAAAATGACACACACTTTTCCCTTTTAAAAATGGGCTAAAATAGTAAAAATATCTCATTAACTCTCTATTTCCCCCCTTATCATTTTTTTTAACTCTCAAACAAGATAAGAGAATACCCTTCAATTTCCTTCCCTTTCTTCCCCTTGGATCCCTTTCCTTCTCTTCCTCTCCAAATTCTCAAACAAATCCTATGGAGAAAGCTCTTATGATCAAAAGTTATTTTTACTATGCTTTCATAGCGCATCTCAGAGTTGATAACTCGTAACAGTGTACTCTAACTCAAAACCTTGTATTTTATTTTGAATAAAAATTATTGTCAAGATTTATTCAACCATGCACTATCATTTAATACAAATAATTTTCACGTTAAATTGATAACTTTAATGTGCATATTTCTTAGTTGCACATTCAAACCATCATAGAAAATAAGTCTTAAATACTATACCATTAAATATGATAGAAATGTAATTTTGTAATAGAACAATTAAAATATAATGACAATTAATTTTACACTAGTGTGACTAAAACATATTGGGGTGTACTTAACTTAAAATGTATCAACAATTAAAATGTAAAGAGTATTAAAAATGGTTAAACAAAATAGAATGTAAAAAGAAAAAGAAATAATTAAGAAAACTGGTTTTGAAAAAGCCATTTTGGAAAGATATACTTACCATTACCACCACAAAAGTTTACTATCATTACAATCAACTTAATTATCATTAATTTTCATCAATCTAACTGTTATAACTTATTGGAAATTATTGGGTCACACTTATTAAATTATAATCGTTAGATTGACGAAAATCAACGATAATTAGATTAGTTGTAAAGATGATAAACGTTTTTTATGATAAGCATATACTGCCCCATTTTGTAATATTCGGATTATTTTCATCATGTTGATGGAAAAAAATAAACTTTCCTGCAGATTCAGGTTTTGGTGGAGCTCGCAGATTTATTTATATCTTAAAAAAAATGGCTAAAAAAGCAAAGAATTTGTAGGAAGATTGTTTTCTTGTCTTGCAACCTAAGATATACATTATCCTTGTAATATATATGGAAAAATAAAAAAAATGTTTAGAAGCCGGTTTCCTATAAAATGACGTCCCAACATTAAAAAAAAAAATATTTTGAAAATCAAAGTTGTAACTGCGATAATATAGAGAAAGAGAGAAAAACTTAAGTTACAAAATTTCAGTGAGAAAAGGGGCTAAAATTTTATTCGCAATATATAAATTGCATTTTATGTTTCAACGCAATAACTGATTTTTTTTAATTCATATGTTTTTTATTTAATTATAAAAGTGCCACATAGCTTTCATTTCTATTTTTAAAGTCTTGTAAATTCTTTATAAAACTTTGAAAAAAAAACATATTAAAAATGTAATATTTTTATAATTACTAATGATAACTGAAAAATCAAAACAGAAAATAAATTACACACCATCTAAGGGATTTATTTAAAATTTTACTTGTAGTTAATATGTTAGTGCTGATAATATGAGATTATATTTTTTATTCAACTTTCAAATTGACACATACTCTACTCTTTTGCAGTTTGTGCTTTCATTACAAGTGCTCTCATCGAAACTAGTGAAAGTGATGGAGCTAGAGGAAGCCACCAAACTGGAAGCGGAAGAGATTCTTCTAGGTTCAACATTTTGACAGTAATTTTTTTTTGTTCCTTTCATTACATTTTTACTGTTTCCCATATATTCTTCTCATTCCGTAGTTGCTAGCCGAATTTGATGACAATGATTCTTGGAGCTTAACAACTTCAAGACAGTGAACGCCTATAGAAAAATTGGCGAAGTTAGGTTAGGTTTTACCTAAATAGATAAGATAATTAAAAAAAAAAAAAAAACTTCTCTCATATTATGTCAAATAAAATAATATTTCTCATAACATAAACACAAGTAATAAAACCCATCACTTGTTAAAAAAATAATGCGAATTTTGATGCCTAACAACATACAAAAATAATATCTTAATACATGAAAAAATAATTTTCCTTTAAAAAATATCAACTTTAACTTGTTATCAATTACAGTATTTTTTTTTCCTTAGTTTGGCCCTTTCATAAAAAATATAAACAAGTCTGGTCGTAGATTACCGAGACAAGGTAAATATTTTTTTTTCTCTCTTCTTGTTCACTACATCTATTGACTCTTACCTAGAAGGTTAAAAGGAGAAATGACCCTCGTTCAGCGGAAGCTTTTACCGAGCCACCATTATAGATAAAAATTTTACACGTATATTTTAAGCAAAACTGATTCTCATTCAAAACGTTTCATGAAAAAAATGATCAAGGCTTCCACGTTCTTCCCAAAAGCATCTTGCTTGAACAAAAATTATACATGATTTTGCATTATTTACCCTTTTGTACACCCTTTTCCTGTTCAAAATTTTGCTTCTGCTTTTTTTCAAAAAAAATAAAAATAAATTGCTTCCGCCAAATGGAAACCTGTTCACAGAAACAAAACTACATATCAGGAAAACAATAACGTATGTAGTAATATCTCGCAATATTTGATCTTATAAGGACAAAAGATGCACTTTTGAGTAAAGGCTATAAGTAAAATGCTATGTATTGAAACTCTGAACACAAAAAGACAAGTATATAGAAGGCACGGTAACAGCATACTAATTATAACTCTAGCATCTTGGTGGCCAATTAGTTCAATAATAATAGTGTCATGTAGGATTACTAAAAGCTATGCTCCCAATACAAGGAAATAAAATAAAGTTCCTTCTATTCCCGAAATCCTGAGTATGAATTAAGGATTTTAATACTGTAATGTAAAGAGCTATCGAAACAGATATGAATTATCAAGTCATATATCAACCCGCTGAAATAACATGAGCAATGAATACAAATATGGTAGAGTTCTCTTCATATGCCATTCAGGAAACATGCAAATCAGCAGGACCATAACCATACAACAAAAACTTACTGACCTGTCGGTAGTTTCTCTCTGGGGGAGCATAAAACTAACTTCTGCTGGAAGAAACAAGAACTCATGAATCATATTCATGAAGAAAGGAAAAATTGCTGCTGAGAATAATACAAGTCTTACATTATTATCAATTCAAATACAAAGTGCACCCATGTCAGGTGTCACCGAGTCATATTCACAAGGTACTTCAGTTTTTGCAGATATCCTTTTCTTTCCTAGCTTCTTTTCTGTTTTGCCCCTTCTGTAGTCAGCTGCTTGGTTACTGACACAACAAAAGTATTAGTCAGACCACATTAAAAGCAGAACTCTACTTGATTACATTCTTATAAGTTATAGCATACAAAACTATGTCAACAAACTTGAATCCAAGGAAAATCATGCAAGCACCCTGAAAAATATTTTCTATACACTCTGTAGACATTATCTGAATAGTTAAAACTTGAAACAGGACTGTAGAACAAACGAGTCTAAGATGCGTACACTACAAACTTAGCAGATTGTTTCCCCAAGGATGATCCACAACAAGCTTTGTATTTCTTTTTTGAACCACATGGGCAGACCTTGTTTCTAGGAATCTTCTGTAGTTAACCCCACAAAGAAGGGGCAGCAAGAACAACCAACAAAAGTGTAAAAGCAGATCATAATATTAGAACAGCATTTTTCTATTGGGGGGACGGGGGGGAATGAAACACCAACAAACCGAAACTAGAAGAAAAAAAGAAAACCTTGTCATTTGGTTGCAATGTAATATTATCATCGGTCTTCCTGGAGCTATTATTGGATTCATCATTAGTACTGTCCTCTACCATGTCTTCTTTGTGTTGTTCATGATTCTCATTTTTATCACAACCTGTAAATCCTCGGAATTTGAGAGAAGAGTTAGAAAGAAGTCAAAAGTTTCGATTCTTTCCTACTAAACATAATTTTTTATACTAAATGATATGCATAAAACACAAAATGCATGAATCCTAACAAGAAATAATATGTTAGAGAAAGAAAAAAGTTTACTAATTCTGAACAGGAAAATATGTTGGTTTGTCCTTTAACAGTACAGAAAGTGCAAAATGCATTGACAAGATATTACCATAAGTATTAGCCTCACTAGGAAAGGAATCAGACTTTGCAGGGCAATCTTCTGTTCCTTGTTCTGCTATTAGAAACTCTATTGCAGCACCAACATCTCCATTTACCTGTTCTAGAACCTGGGACAAGGAAGACATACTTTGAATATATGTCAAGTGGTTAATTTCTAGAAAAGACAGCAACTTGCAAGAGATTTCGATAAATTGAAATATTAGTCATGCAAGACAAGAAGCATACAAATTGAAACAAGGCATGCACTTTTTTCACCTGTTCCACTTTTTCAGTGCTTTCACATCCACTTCCGGCCATAACCAACTTCATAGACCCTGGCTGAAAAGTTTCCCTACCAGCTTGCCAACGGTTTTTGTTAGCCACAACTTTCGTTTGATGAGATGGCGCTGAAAGATCACCATCAGCCTTTCACAAACTAGAATTAATCAGGCAATAGCTACTACTCTAAACATTAATTTAAGATTTGGAAAACAGAATTCCAATAAGAACCTTAATTACAATTGACCTTGCAGGTCCATCACGAGGATCATCCTTTAACCGCACACTATTATAATGCTCCCCATCATGATAAGATCTGGAAAGACACACAAAAATATTTCATCAAAATTCATATGCAAGGTCAAGAGAATTATTTTGCATGGTGTCTGATAGGGGACCAAGCAATAAAATGTGGATACTGAACAGTAGTTCTAATATCAAATGGATATCAGAATGTGTTTTTAGTTACAGAGATAAAAAGATAGTCTAGAGCATTCAAGAGGCCCTAGTCTCTACAATCTTCTCCTCCTCCTACTCTCTTAAAGCTAAGCTATTGTAACTAACAACTTTTCCCTCCAAAAGGCAATCACACTTTTCTAATCCTCTATGTCCCTTCCTACAGTACACCCTAATAATGTGTGGTTTCCTAACAGTTTCCTATAGTAGCTATTGATATGCATACCTTAAATCTCAATTCCATGCAAAAACAGATTCATTGCACACGGGAAAATATTACAAGAGGTTGTCTTCCCTAAAATGATGTGATTCAACTAATAAGAAACTATTAGTTACTAACTACTCAAGCGCCATATCAATAAGATTTGTAAAAACTAATAAATAGTTGGATCCAAATCCTCAGAAAATCATTAACAGGATTTTTCATTCACAAATAATGAATTGATATTTGCTCCTTGATTTTATTAATTTTCCTTTGAAATAACCCAACCGAATTATATCAGTTGCTATCAGCTTCCTATATCACATTCAGTTATCATTTACCATAGCTCATCTAAATAATCAGTATATACTATTATTCTACTACTCTATTTGTTAGTGTGTGTATGTGATTCGAAGGTTTTGTTGTTGCTAATTGAACACTGAATTTGAAAGCATAGATCTCCAAATCATAAAATGAAGACCCGAGGTCAGAAAGAAAGTTGAAGATATAAACAATTTATTGCTTGTTTAGCCATAGATTTAGCATATCAAAAAGATCAATATAATGCTGCGAGAAAATAGACAACATTATCAACATCAACAACACCTTTATTGCAAACACCAGGAGAAAATAGACAATGCAGTGCAATATCACATAACAACCATAAACTCCATAGTACTCACAAATGAATCATACGGACTCCACTATCATCATAGTTTCTTATGTACCACCGAGGAGACATGTTCTGCACAAGCAAACCAATAAGCATGTGAATTTGAATTAACTTCAGGGGGTAACATGTAAAGTTTACCAAGAAATTTTAAAAGAACTAGTCTGCGTCAGCACAAATGTGTCTTCAGTCTTAACATTAATAATCAGCTAACACATTCAAAAACAAAATAAAATTGCATGGAACAAAGATGATATAATGTGAAAATATTTCCACTATGGCATGCCCCAATCTTCATTTGGGTAAATGTATGAAAGTCCTAACCAATCAATGTATCAAATAAAAAGATGTGACATTAGAATACAAGGGGAAGGAATTAATTATCTTCAAGGATACTACTTACTCGGTGAATGCATATATTACTATGCGTTACAAGAGAAGCTGCCTGCAATTCCATATGTCCAGCCCATGTACCATCATTTTCCATGGACTGGCAATATTCATCAAATGGGACTTCATCTTCAATAAAGGGCTCAAACGTTTCCCGGTTGTCCTGTTAATTACAGCTTCAAGACCAGATTATGTGAAGGAGTTTTCCAATAAAAAAAGGAGGAAAACTGATGCAGGAAAGCTAGCAGTAGTAATTGAGACTTGGCATGTACATCTACATAGCAAGATGTCGTCCAGTTTGCATATATTGATGAAAGTTAACAGCCTTAATCAATGGTTATGTAAATGAACATAAACTATCACTGAAAAAAACAGAGAGTATATGGGCAATCAGCAATCTTTAGGATCGGGTATTTATTTTGTTTTATGTTTTGCCAACTTTCCATATATTTACTAGTTTAACAGTGAATTTTAGGTGATTTACAACAGAAAGGTTCTGATTCAATAATCTTTCAATTGCCCCAATCAATTTTCTTCCCAAAGCTTTGCACCAACAATACAATACTACAAATGAACTAAATGTTTCAAGCCCTACCTTTTCTTAATTTTCTTGTTAAGGAAAAAATAGGGTACAGGTACAATTGATTAATGACATCTAATCATTGTGCAATGAATTTCAAAGTTCATGTGGAACAAAATCATTTCATAAACAATACATAAACTTGAAACTCAGAGTAGTTATAAAATTGATTACAAAACATCATACCAATATGTGTTTCACCACCATGCTGCGGTACTTTTGATGTTCCTCCTCATTGCCTTCCAACTGATCAGCAAGGGCTCTACATAAGAATATGATGAAAAGAAAGAGTGTTTTTTTGTATAACACTATTGATTGATTACATTGAGAGACCCAATAGGTCCTATTTATATTGAGTACAAAGAACAATGCTAATAAATAGCAACAGTAAACTAAGAGGCTTATTTACAATAACAAGAGACATTAATAAATAAGGGAACAAATAGCAAGGAAGTAATAAATGATAATCTAGAATATTCTACACTCCCCCTCAAGTTGGGAGATATATATTGATCAGTCCCAACTTGCTGATCAAATCCTCAAAGGTCGGCTTAAGTAAACCTTTGGTGAGAATATCTGCCGTTTGTTCCTTGGTAGGTATATATGACAAGCATACACTACCGTCTTCTAATTTTTCTTTGATAAAGTGACGATCGACTTCCACATGTTTTGTTCTGTCATGATGGACAGGATTTTGAGCAATGCTGATAGCAGCTTTATTATCACAATATAATCTGATAGGTAGGGAATAAGAGATCTTCAACTCTTCCAGAAGCCTTCTTAACCAAATTCCTTCACAAATACCATGGGCTAAAGCCCGAAATTCCGCTTCTGCACTGCTTCTTGCAACAACAGTTTGTTTCTTACTTCTCCAGGTCACAAGGTTTCCCCAGACATAAGTACAATATCCTGAAGTAGATCTTCGGTCCATTGCAGAGCCAGCCCAGTCTGCATCTGTATAAACTTCAATCATCCTTTTGTTCCCCTTTTTAAAGAGAATTCCTCGACCAAGGGTGTTTTTGAGGTACTTGAGAATTCTATAAACAGCACTAAGGTGTTTTTCCTTAGGAGAATGCATGAATTGGCTAACCATGCTCACAGCAAAAGCAATATCAGGACGAGTGTGAGACAAATAGATTAATTTCCCCACTAGTCTCTGGTACTGCTCCTTATCAACATCTTCCCCGTCCTCAACTCCCATCTTGATATTAGCTTCAATTGGAGTCTCTGCTGGCTTGCACCCAAGCATACCTGTTTCTTGCAACAGGTCTAGAATGTATTTTTTCTGAGTTAAGGAAATTCCTTCCTTACTTCGAGCAACTTCCATGCCAAGGAAGTATTTGAGAGATCCAAGATCTTTTAGTTCAAACTGATCAGCTAAACATTTTTTTAAAGAGGCTATCTCCTCGGTATCATTACCAGTGACAATTATGTCATCAACATAAACAATGAGGATAGCAATTCTACCTTTGTCAGAGTGTTTAAAGAATAAAGTGTGATCAGTCTGAGCTTGGGTGAACCCTCTTCCCTTAACAGCTTGAGTAAATTTCCCAAACCATTCTCTGGGAGATTGTTTAAGTCCATAGAGAGACTTCTGCAACTTGCACACAGAACCATCCCCTTTTTCAAAACCAGGAGGTGGATCCATGTAAACTTCCTCATGTAGATCACCATTCAAGAAGGCATTCTTGACATCTAACTGTTGCAATGGCCAATCAAGGTTGGCAGCAAGAGATAGCAGAACGCGGATAGTGTTAAGCTTGGCAACAGGAGCAAATGTCTCTTGATAATCAATCCCATGAGTCTGAGTAAATCCCTTGGCAACTAATCTGGCCTTATACCTGTTGATGCTGTTATCTGCATTAAATTTTATTGTGAACACCCACTTGCAACCAACAGTTTTCTTTCCTTTAGGTAATGTCACAAACTCCCATGTTCCATTTTTTATAAGTGCATCCATTTCTTCTAATACGGCGTTCCTCCATTTTGGGTCATCAAGTGCTTCTTGGATATTTTTGGATATCCTGGTACTATCTAACATAGTGTTGAAAGCACGAAAACCTGGAGATAACTTCTCATATGAGATATAATGGGAAATAGGATGAGCAGTGCAAGATCTAGTACCTTTTCGAAGGGCGATGGGCATATCAATGTTGGCTGTGCTAGTGCATTCAAGTGGGTTGCTAGAGCAAGGACTCGAGTCAGGATCCTGGCAGTCTAGAGTCTCTTGATGTGTTTTGCGCCTGCTGTAGAATTTTCCCCATTTACCAGGAGGATCACAAGGACTGGGAGGATCATTAGACTCAGGTATAGTTGCTCCCCCTGTTTCCTTCCCAATAACTTCCCCTGTTTCCAAAGGCCAAGGTAAGACAACAGCTTCATTTGGTTTTCCAGGCTTATCTTCATCCATACCAGTAGACTCCCCCTGAAGAGAAGTCGGGGAAAAAAAGGATTGTGTCTCATAAAAGGTAACATCCATGGAAACAATGACCTTACGGAGAGAAGGTGAGTAACACTTATAGCCTTTTTGATTAGGGGAATATCCTATGAAGACACATCTAATAGATTTAGGGTCAAGTTTGGACCTTTGATGTGGAGGAATATGTACAAAGACCACACAGCCAAATATTTTTGGAGGAAGAGAAAGAGCACAGAAAGAAGAAAAAGATTTAGTAAGACAAGATAAAGGAGAATGAAAATTTAGTACCCGAGAAGGCATTCGATTAATGAGATAAGAAGCTGTCAAGATGGCTTCCCCCCACAGATATTTAGGGACATGCATCGTGAATAAGAGAGCTCGAGCAACTTCAATTAGATGTCTATTTTTCCTTTCAGCCACCCCATTTTGTTGAGGGTGTTAGGACAAGAACATTGATGAATAATTCCATGCTGATTTAGGTAATCTCCAAGAACAGAATTAAAATATTCAGTGCCATTGTCTGTTCGCAGAATTTTGATAGGAGTCTGGAATTGAGTTTGAATCATAGCATGAAAATTTTTAAAAGTGGATGCCGCATCAGACTTGTCTTTTAAGAGATATACCCAACATACCCTAGAATGATCATCAATGAAAGTAATAAACCAACGAGCACCCGAGACATTTTTTTTACGAGCAGGTCCCCAAATATCACTATGAATCAATGTAAAGGGAGAAGATTCATGATATTTCTTAGGAGAATAAGTGACACGAAAATGTTTTGCAAGCTGACAAATATCACAAAGAAAGGAACTTGGCTTTTTATTGATAAATAAGTTAGGGAATAACTTCTGAAGATAAACAAAATTTGGGTGCCCTAACCTACGATGCCATAACAAAACATCATTACAATCATCTGATAAACATAGAGAGTGGTTTGAAAAAATCCTCCTCCAAATAGTATAGCCCTTCTTCCTCTCTAGCACTGCCAATCATCATCCCCGAGTCCTGCTCCTGAAAGATACAAGCATTTGCAGAAAACTTAGCAACACAATGCAACTCAGCAGTAAATTTGCTAATAGAGATGAGGTTACAAGTAAGGGAGGGAACATGAAGGACTGAGTTCAAAATAATATGTTCAGAAAGTTTAATGGATCCCTTGCCCGCAATAGTGGAGAAATTTCCATCAGCTGTTCTTATTCGTGACGGGTGATAGTAAGGGGTATAGGAGGAAAATAAGGTTGCATTACCTGTCATGTGATCAGAGACTCCTGAATCAAGGATCCAACGATTACTACGTTCAACATGGAATGTCATACCTTTTTGAGCAACATGACTAGTTGCCTCAGCAGGTTGAGACATCAATTTCTGAAAGTGCTCATACTGGGCCTTAGAGAGGAGAACACCATCGGGGTTTGAAGGGACATGAGACCCCTCCCCCTTATCTTCAGAAGATACTTGATTAGCACGATTCTTGTTCTGTCCTTTTGGTTTCCAGTTTGGTGGTTTGCCATGAATTTCCCAACATTTTTCACGGGTGTGACCACCCTTATTGCAATGAGAACACCAACGGTCAGAACGTTTTGAGTCCCCAGAAGGACGAGCAATATTCTTTGTTATAAGGGCTGACCCATCAGAGGACTTAGAGTCCTTATCACCCAACATTACCTTTCGGCGAAGCTCCTCCCTTCGTACCTCAGAAAAGGCAGTGGCAATGGAAGGTAATGGTTTTGCCCCAAAATTCTTCCACGAACATCATCCAGATCAGAATTAAGGCCAGCAAGAAAATCGTAGAGACGCCTTTTCTCTATATAATATTTGAATATTGCATTAGCGTCTAAACCTTGAAGGTCTGCTTTATCATAAAGATCCAACTCTTGCCACAATGTTTTTAGAGCAAGGAAGTATTCAGTAACAGTCATCCCTCCTTGGCGTAAATCTTTCACCTTGGTGTTGAGTTCAAAAGCCTGAGAGGCATTGCCCAGGTCAGAGTAGTATTCTTTAACAGCTTCCCAAATTTCTTGAGCCGTATCAAGGAATAAATAAGTTTGACTGATATCCGATTCCATAGAATTAGTCAGCCATGTCATGACCAAAGCATTTTCAGTCACCCAAGCATCATAGCCAGGTTCATGTTCTGCTGGTTGAACCTTTTTTCCATCCAGATACCCCATCTTCCCTTTGGCCTGGATAAACAACTTAACAGATTGACACCATTGCACATAGTTTCTACCGTTTAAACGGTGATTGGTGATCTGCATTGCTGGGTTGTCTCCAGAAGACGAAGAAATGGGAAGGGGTGAGGTTCCGGTCGAAACTCCAGATGAATTTTCAACATTTTCAGTGTCCATGGCTTCCTAACAACAATACCCAGAAAACAAAATTCCTCCAAATATGATTTTGACCCTCAAAACAGGAAGAGGGAAGGCAGACGATCAGAACGGGGTATGACCCGCCGGAAAAAAATGATGGGAGGGCGGCGCGTGGACCACACGCGCCGGCGAAGCTGAAGGATGTTGGTGGCGCGTGGCGACGCGTGGCTGGGTCTCCGGCGACGGGTCTTGTGTTGGCTGGCTCGGAATTTTGTTCTGGACCTAATGGTGGCCTTGGTTTTGTGGTTGGAGGTATCTAGGTGAGGGTTCTGGCCTTGACAGAGGCAAAAAACGAAAAAAAAAATGGAAGGGAAGTTAGAACAGGGAAGAGACTGGATTTTAACCAGCTCTTGATACCATGATGAAAAGAAAGAGTGTTTTTTTGTATAACACTATTGATTGATTACATTGAGAGACCCAATAGGTCATATTTATATTGAGTACAAAGAACAATGCTAACAAATAGCAACAGTAGACTAAGAGGCTTATTTACAATAACAAGAGACATTAATAAATAAGGGAACAAATAGCAAGGAAGTAATAAATGATAATCTAGAATATTCTACAGAATAGAAGAGTGCAAATGTTAAAACTAGTATATGATGTTGTAAATAAACATTGCATAGGTGTTCTCCATATATTGTCATTTCCATGAAACGGTGGCTACAAATTAAGAGTGTTGACCACACAAGGATTTGGCCAATCAAATCCAATAATTTCAGGAAATAAAAACTAAAATTATCTAAACAAGGAAACATAATACTTTAAGGTTGACTAGCTTATGAGCCTAATCAACCTAAACTGGGAAACAAATAACTTAAAAAAAATATATTATCTGAAAGAATCCAACAGAGAATCACACGTGATTAACACGAGGAGCCTTGCTGTTAGCACCATGGGTCATGCAGAATAGTCTATCAAAAATATCAGGATGCCCGTAATGCACACTGAACTTCAAAGGATTGCGAAAACCCACTGACCCAAGGTCACCAACCCAGTTTCCTGATTCAACATAAACGAGGCCAAAGATGAGACACTGTCAGAAAGGACATGTTCTCCAACATCAAGAATGGCAGGAGGGCAAAGCCCATGATCAGAATGAAATTCTTCAAGAAGATTCCTCATCTTCAAACATCAACATTAACAACACTTGTACTCCAAACTAGTTGGGATCGGCGGTCAAAGAACCCAAATAAAAAGATTCCTCATATTCAAAGCCTCCTCAAAATAATCATCAGGCTTTGCTTGCTTGCTGCCAGGAGTAGGGGTGTGCATGGATCGGTTCGGTTTGGTTCTTATGCCAAACCGAACAAAATCGGCTTTAATGGTTTGGTTCTTCAAATCGAACCGATTTTAATTTTCCCAAACCAGTTTTTCTTTTCTTGAACCTGTTTTGAAAGCAATTCCCAGGAACACCGACCAAAATGCCACTGTTCACCAAGTTTTTTACCTAAATGCCACGCGAATAGTGTTATTTCCCAATCTGCCACAGGGGTAAGTTCGCTACCCGGTGTAGCGAACTCGGTTTGCTGACGTGTCACATTTCTAGTGGATAACAAGTACCAAGTTAAAAAAAAAAAATTTGAAGGTCGCTACATTGAGTAACGAACTTGGTGTCCACTAGAAACGTGACACGTCAGCAAACCGAGTTCACTACACCAGGTAGCGAACTTGCCCTCATGGCAGATTGAAAAATAACACTGTTCGCATGGCATTTAGGTAAAAAACTTGGTGAATAGTGGCATTTTGGTCACTGTTCCCAATTCCCAAAGCAGTTTTTTTTAAAATTGGTTTGGAATCGGTCTGTAACTGCTTCGTCTCCTAAGTGGTTTTGAACTGAATCCCAACCGGTTTGGAAATGATTTCAAACGAATTTTGAACCAGTTCCGAACCGACTTTTAGCATTTTGAACAATTTTCATAATTTTGAACTTTGAAGATATTATTTTTGACTTAATAGTGTGAGCTAATTTAATAGTATGCTATATTTATAGCGTGAGTTGATACAATGACATTTATTTCTCTTTTGAATGGTTATGTGGTCCAACCTATTTATGCTTCCTATGCAATAATTTTTCTTTTGAATTTCAAGCTTTCAATTTTCAATTTACCAAAAGACTTTTTCACAATAACTTTATTTTTTTACAAAATGTTACATACACTATTTTATATTAATATAACTTTAATTATTTAATTGTAGCTAATTTTACTTTATTTTACATATCCTTAAATTTTAATTTTAACATGTACTTTTAACATGATCTATAACAAATAATCAAACATTTTTCTTTCTGAACATTATTGAAAGAGGGGAAGCTCATTTTTTTCATAGATAAAATTGATTTTATTCAACGATAAAATGCAACCAAAATCATTGTATTATCACAATTGGTTTTAATTTTTTTTTTTAAAAATACTCATTCCCACCTCATTATAAAATTAAAAATATATAAAATATGAGAATGATACTTTTACACATTAATAATATTTTCCTTTTAAAAAATTTAAATAAATAAAAATAACATATTTCCGAATTTTGAAAAGGGATTGGGATTTTCTTTACTTGGGTTAAAAACCGGTTTGGATCGGTTCTTTTGGTTCTTAAACCGGTTCAACTAAAGAGGTTTGGTTTATAATTGGTACTCATGGTGCCAAACCAGGTCAGGAATCCTTGTTCAGGCCCTCAAGAGAGGGCTCTCATACTATTTAGAATTTAGAAAAGAAAAACATAGTTTTTCTCTATATATCGTTATTTCCATGAAGGTGGCTACAATTTAAGGGTGTTGACCACACTCAAATTTAGCCAATCAAATCCCATAATTTCAGGAAATAAAAAATAGGTTTATCTAAACAAGGAAACAAAATATTTTAAGGTTGACTACCTTATGGGTCCAATCAGCATAAACTAGGAAACAAACATCAGAAAAAAATAATTATTATATCTGAAAGGATCATGTGGAGAATCACACGTGACTAACAACAAATGCTTTACACACAATTGATTCATTGTACTGTAAACACCAAGTGCAACTGTGACTTACTTACCAGAGAGGATAAAGGGGAGGAACAGGGGGCGATAAGGATCTAAATTAATAACTGATAATGCCAGTCTTTAACCTAACCTCAGTTTCAGCATAAGGACAATAAGGTTGGCATTTGGTGTGCGAGTGAAAAAAACTAGCATGTAACAGCACATAACTACTTGCTGAATAATACTAGTACCCCACTATATGCAATACACATACTGCATAGGAGTTAATTGCACCGCAATAGTGCCGCGAGCCGTGCCGTAAGGGTGTTGCGGTGCCTCGCCGCAAGAAACTGCACCACGTCGCACCAGAACGCAATAGCGGCCAATGCGATCGCATTTGCGGCCAAATCACAGCCATATTGTTGTCATAAGGCAAAATGTCATTTTTATCCTAAATTTAAATGTGTGACAGAAAATTTTTAAGGGTTTTTTAATCTATCTGCATCTCTCTCTATCACTTCTGCTATCTCTGCCTTTAAAAAATGTTTTTTTTTGTCATTATTTCTGTCATATATCTATTTCACTATTTTCGCAACCGCAACCCGCTATAGCGTTATAGCGTTTCTTGGGGTTGGCCGCGACATGCCGCAATCCACATTTGATAACTTTGACAAATAGTAGTAAACGTAAATGGATGTGAAGCATTAAGGCAAACCTGAAGAAACAATTACCATCTGCTGTCACTTCAACAATGCGTAGGCCCAGAGCATCCAACTGAGTGCGAAATTGAGAAGTATCAGCCTGTTTTCCCAGCTTCTTAATCTGTCACGAAATAAATGACGGGTCACCAGTGGCTAGAGTATCCAAATAACACCTATTCCTAGAAGCATTACAAACTTACAATTGGATTTGTTACTTAACATATTGATGGAGGAGTTATCACTATTCTTAATTTTCAGAACATTCTAACTAATAGTAGATACAGTAAGAGCTATAGTACTGTCAATTGTGGCCTGTAAAAGTTTCTGAATACCTTCCAACGACAAAAGGGCAAAATACAGGAAAACCAAGTTGACTAAAAAATTATTCTCTAAAAAATAATAATCATATAAGACCCTATGCTTAACCTTAATAAGCCATGAACGACAGAAAGACTTGGAAGACAAATACATACTTGACACTATATCAGCGGCCAGATTAACCTCCAGTGCAAAATGGTAAATTAAACCAGCTCCACCACAGCCTCATGAATCAATGATATTAGAAAATAAAAATGGATAATCCCAGTAGTGCAATCTAAACTCAAAATATTCCTTACACACTTTTCAAAGCACAAGCTTCACAAAATTGTCACTTGAAGTAACAATGCAACATTTGAGTACCACTAAACTAATGCGGCCTCTGTAAAAAGAAAACTATGAAAGATGCAACCCACACTAATTTCACTCCAAAAACAACAAAATAAAATAGGTTATATACCGTTTCTCTTGATCACTGCCTACTGCAAAATAAGTAAAGCATTGAAAACAAAGAGAGGCATTGGAAAATAACAGATTGGAAATCCAAATGCAAAGGGATAACTATGAAGAGATTATAGAACAACTGAATATTGATAGCAGAGACGGAATTAAAAAAAAATGAAAAAGAGAGAAAAAACCAAAATTTACAGAAGCTTAAGCGTACTTGCGGGTGTTGTTGCTTCTTCTGAGATAGCTTCTTCTGTTGCTTCGGCTTAGCCATATCCTCGTCCTTAATCGAAAAACGATGTCTCCAAATGTCGGTCCGAGGGCGAGAACTAAAAATCAGACCGAGAACTATAAGACTATGGCCGACACCAAGGAGCCATTACTAGAGTGACTAGTCAGGAGTTATAAACTCATGGGCCTCGTGAGCATAGGTCGAAAACAATTTGACTGGGCCCAAAATCTGGCCCGTTTGAGAGAATTTGTTCCTTGCAAATATTTTATAAAATGATAATGTTTAAAAACTCGGTCTTGTGATCGATTTGGTTGAGCTATTGGATCATTGATTTAACTGATAGATCATGGATTCAATTGATTTAATTAAATTTATATTAAATTATATAATAAATATATTATAAGGTGCATTTTGACTATCGTAAAATGTGTTTGTGCATTAGATGGAGAGGAGAAAATGACCAAATTATGACTTTTTGTTTATATATAATTTTTTAAAATTTGTTATATTATTCTTTTAATGGTATTTAATGGATTTTAAGAAATAATTAAACAAATTTTTTATTAGAATTATAAAATAACATGTATTATAAAATCATAAAATACATAATTTAAAGAACAAAGCTTATAATTAGAAAATAATTTAGACTCTGTAATAAAGAATATTGTCAATTCTCTTATTTGACCAAAATTGTAACTCGTACAATCCAAAAAAATAAAAGAAATTTGTATGATTTTTTTTTTTAACATTTTTTTTTCTTAAGTTTGTTGTTTGACTTTTGAAGAGTATTTGATACTTACACGTATTGATTCAAAATGATAATTGGTCTAATGACGTTCCATCTAGACCCAAAACTTAATTTGTCCAAAAAAAAGTAGTAGGTTTAATAAGGGGTTGCAATATGGCTCCACCCAACACGACACGATATGGCACGTGTTTGACATGTACACGAAATGACACAATCTATACATGATACATATTATTAATGGGTCAAAAAATAGAAACCTTCACACGACCCGCTACAGGTCATAGGTCGACACGATACGACACGTAAAATTTGAAATTTAAAAAAAAATGAAAAAAATTGAATTTTTTTAAATAAATTAAAAACAACAAAAACAAAAAACAAAAAATAGACAAGTAATAATAACCCTAGCCTAAAGAAAGTTTTTATACCTCTCAGAGGAAATTATCAAAATAATCCCTATACAGGATGACACGCGAACCCGCGGGTTAACTCGTGACTCGATACAAATAAAAATATATCAATTTTTTAAACGTGTAGTGACCCGCTAGTTGACACAATACGCATTTTGACGGGTCGTTTCACGGGTCAACCCACGGGTCATAACCTGTTTTGTCACCCCTAGATTTAATTATTGAGAGCCCAAATTCATGGTGAGAGTGGAGACACTCAAATAAAAAATTAAAATAATAGAATCCATTAGAATTTCAAATACCGATTGGGAATTAAAAAAAAAAGTGGTAAAGGAGTTAATAAACGATAATTTTTTCACTCAAGAGAGCATGTATGAGATAAACAAAATATATGTATTTATTGTTTCTCAGAAAATAAGTATCTCTTTTATATATATAAAAGTTGGTGGGACTTATATTTTCTCTTTTTCTTTCTTCTCTTCACATGAGTCTAAATAGGCCCATCCACTTTTATGAGTATGTAAGAGATAAAATTTATCTCCTCTAAGATAAGAAACATTAATCCCCAAAATATAACAAGTTTAATATTTCTTATGTTATACGAGATAAAATCATTTCTTATACACGCATAAAAGTATGTGAGGCCCATGTGGGGCCATATGAAGAGAAGAGAAAAAAAATATTGACCTCACATATTTTTATGTATGTATAGAAGATAATTTTTTCTTCTATAACATAATAGACGTTAAAACCAAATATAACATCTTAAAAGCAAAGAATGTTTTATTTTCCGGCATTATCTGATTCTTGATTGTTCCTCTAGTTAACGTGGTGGGTGGGGGTTATAATTTTGTAAAAGAGATATTAAAATCAACAAAATTTTGCTTTCAACATAAAAACAATAAATTATGTAATAATTTTATAATTATTAGTACAAACATATTTGTTACGATCTGATAGATCGATCTGTCCAATCAGAGATTGATATGTTAATATAAGATTTATTTGTTATCTCTCAGGTACCTATAGGAGAGGTACCCTAAAGATAAGCGGATTACTGTGCACTATAATATAACGACATAATCAAGACGCGGAGTGTGTGCACAGTGACAACCTAATAGAGAGGGTTTAGAATGTGTGTACCTTATTGGTTTAATCCCTTATTTATAGATGGGTTACCTGGCAGGAGTGGGCTTTTGGGCCTCTCAGGAGCATTGAGGGTCCAATTGTTGATTCATTGCTGCCGTAGTAGGATTAGCATAATTAAGGAATATTTCATTATCTTAGTTGTTAGTCCTATTTGGGCCTTCTAGAATGTAGGCCTTTGTCAGGTCCATAACAATATTAATTAAAAATAATAAAATAAACAAAATGTAACTAACAACTTTTTTCCGTTTCATCACTATATATATAGGGTAAATATTTTTACAGTCACTTTAAATAAGGTTATCTACAGCTACCCCAAAAACTACATCATTTTGATTCATGGATGGTGTTTCTGTAATTTTAGGTGAACTAATGAAGGGTGTTTTCGTAATTTTATTTATTTTTTTAGCATATACATTTTACTGAAACACCCTTCATTAATCAAAATGACGTAGTTTTTGGGTAGCTATAGATAACCTTATCTAAAGTGGCTGTAGAAATATTTTTTCATTTATATATATATATGAGTTTAGTGTTTCTCATGTTAAAGAAGATAAATTTATCTTCTACATATAAATAAAAATATGTGGGGTCCATATTTTCTCTTTCTCTTTTCTTCTCACATGGACCCCACACACTTTTATATATGTAGGAGATAATTTTATCTCCTACAACATTATAAATATTAAATTATATATATATATATATATATATATATATATATATATATATATATATATATATATATAACAAAAAATTTTACTTATAACTACATTATTGGTGACATAAAATATGTATAATAGATAAAAGAGATTAAGAGATACAACCCAATGGGTGCAGCTCAGTTGGTAATTTGGCGCTGAGTTAGTGGGGTTAGATATGTGTTCGATTCCCGCTGAATGCATTCTTGGGGAGGGGGCTGAACCTTTAGCCATCACTGTTCCCCCGCACTCCGGATTAGTCCCATAGCCAGCTCAAAGAGTCGAAGCTCGTGGGGATACCGGAGGGAGCCAACTCGTCTCAAAGAGATAATTAGGGTTGGGTAACTCTAAAAAAAAAGATTAAGAGATACAGTTATTTTAGGATTCCATCCATTATTAGAGGTGAAAAAATGGATTCGTTCCCAATTGCTCGCCAAACTAGCCCATCAACCTACTTGGCTGATTATTATTTTTTAGTATAAAATGGGTTTGATTCGACGGGACGGGCCAAATTTTTCACCCACTTTTAAAAGTGGAGCAGTGCTGGCCGACTCAATTTTTGGCGAGCTAATAGTATATCTCTGTCCACTTTGCCACCTCTAACATATTGTGTACATATAAAAAATAAAATTATCTCCCGTCTGCGAAAGAAAAAAACCTTAAGTAAAATTTAGAAACTAAATATTTTCTTAGAATCAGTTTTCAAATTTAAAAAATATATATATATTGTATGCCATACAATATAAAGAATTTATAATAACAATACACCGTTAAATGTTAAAAAAAATTGGTTAAATAAAATATATTACAAATAGTTAATTCAAACTAAATTTTATCATTGATTTTTAATTGTTTTGGATAAGTTCGATTGATATTTTAAGGAATTTTTAATTGATCAATTTATTTTATTGATTATTTGATTAATTTGATTTGAGTTTATAAATTACTCAGTTAATCGAGTTCAAATCAGACATGATTATAAAGGATAGTAAAGCTTTCCTTATATATTTTTAATCGGTCGAGTCTGAGTTTTAAAAGGGGAATTTGACTCACGGAGAGTCTTTCTCTCATGTGGCTGAAATAAAAAAGTGGATCCCATATTTTATAAAATAAAAAATAAAAAACAAAAAACAAAAAGAATGGCCCTACACTTAATGTATCTGAAGAAGTAAGACTCTCATGTAACAGGGGAGTCGAATTCCCCTTTTTAAAATAACTTAAAAGATGTCACCGTAAAAATATTTGCAAATATATTTCAACACTTAAACGTTATCAAATTAAGATGAGGAATAAAAATATAAGATGGAGTTTTCATGAAATGGGGATGAGGGGGAAAAAGGGCAGAGATGTGAGGTTTAGGATTTTACACTTGTGTGGTTATGGCAGCCGCTGGGCTTAGCAAGACTGAACAAACAGTGAGATTCCAAGCCATTATTAATTCAGCGGAAATGTGGGTCATTCAGCTTCTGAACTTTGGGACTCTTTTCTGCAAAGAACAGCAGAAGATGGAGTAATTAAATTTTGCTTTTAATAATGCAACAACGCCATGCACATATGGCTGTTGAGGTAGTATCCTATGTAACCACCCAAAAAAAACTCCCTTTTATATTATTTTTCCCAGCGCACGAATGAGCAACTTAAAGAAATAGTAGGTCTTTCGTAGTATTATTTTTAGAAAAGTTTAAAATCTTAATCTCAAAACTTATCCTGAATGGAACTAATTGCGAAACAATGAATTGATTGAAATATTTAAAAAATAAAAATAGTAGGGTGCTAACTGTAACACCTCGTATATACTCGGATTGTTAACATATCATCGTATTAAGCTGCGCTTAATTAAAAATGCGGAATATCTTTTTCTTTTCAATTATGACATCATTATACTTAACCAAGTTGATTACTTAGTCAATTTCATAAAATATCGCATGTATGTAAATTGCAAAAAGACATATAACTGGAATACCTCATAATATAGATAAAGTGAGTATCTATGTCACGGATCTACTACACATAGTCCAGACAATATCCTGGTACATTAATACAACTCCAAATTAAACAAGACAATAAACAAGTCTACGTGGCATGGACAATCCCCGTACTCACCAAATCAACA